CTCTACAGAAAAAGGTTGAGAAGTATCCAGAGGGACAGCAGCAACAGTAACAGCTGGCTTAACCAGTTGAGTGTCAGATTTACGAGAATGATAAGGCTTAAGTAAATTTACGTGAAAACACTGTTTAGCCTTACGCCGATTTGGGGTTGCAATTTCATAATTTTGGTCAGTCATTTTTTTAAGAACAGTATACGGACCAGTAAATCGCGCGCAAAACGGAGATCCAGATGAAGGTAACAAAACCAACACCTGATCACCCGGCATAAAAACACGGCATTCGATATGTTTATCAAAGTGTTTCTTCATCTTATCTTGTGCTCCGACAAGATTTTTCTGAGCACTCATTCCAGCTAAAAATAAGCGTCTACGGAAACCATCTACATATTCCAACAAATTCTGAGGAGGATCCTTTTCAACCAATCCTTCCCTCCAAACAGAAAGAGGACCCCGTACACTGTGACCAAATACAAGATCATTCGGGCTAAAACCCAAACTCTCCTGTTGTACCTCTCTAGCTGCAAGTAATAACCAGGGTAAACCCTCCTCCCAGTCACGATTCAACTCCACACAGTAAGCACGTAGTAACGATTTCAATGTTTGGTGAAAACGTTCCAGCGCACCTTGACTTTGGGCGTGATATGGGCTTGATTGATTGTGCTTGACCTTAATCACTCTCAAAATCTCAGCAAACATACGTGAAGTAAAATTAGACCCTTTATCGCTCTGAATAATCTTCGGTATCCCAAAAATAGAGATGAATTGGGTTAACGCTTTCACAACTGCTTTAGTTGTAATTCTTCTAATTGGATACGCTGCCGGGTATCGAGTTGTTTGGCACATCACAGTCAGCAAATATACATTACCTGATTTAGATTTAGGTAATGGACCCACACAGTCAATTATTAGGTGCTCAAAGGGTTTACTTGTGACCACAATAGGACACAAAGGCACCGGTCTCAAAGACTGATTCGGTTTCCCTGTTAACTGACAGGTATGACATGTTTTAATAAAGGCCGAAATATCTTTTTTCAGACCCGGCCAATAAAACTGTCTCAAAACTCTGTTGTACGTTTTATTTACTCCGAAATGACCAGCAACTTCACCATGTGAAACTCGCATTACCACCTCTCGAAATTGCTTTGGCACCACTACTTGAATTACAGATTCCTCAATCAAACCCTTCGCACAGGGAATAAATTTCCTCAAGAGTAGCTCATCTTGGATAAAATATCCACTGGCAGCACTTCTTACCTCCTGCGATGGAATAACATTCTCAAACAGTTGTTGTAACCCAGGATCGTTCTGTTGTGCAGTCATCAGCTCCCTATGAGTAATAGGAAAAAGAGTAGACAAACCCGGCACAACACAATTAAACAATTCTTTCTCTTCACAAGATGCCTCACGACTCCTCGAACGAGTTACTGCACACGTTACAAATACCTCAGGGAATTCTTGCTTTAGCACATCAGACTCTACCATCAACGGAGTGGGCACTACCACAGGTGGTGGAATTACCTCTCGCCATACCCTATCTCCAGCTAAATTATTCCCCAATATTACCATGACACCATCCACTGGCAAGGATGGACGGACTCCCAAGGTTACTTCTCCACAGACCAACTCTGAAGTCAAGTTCATCCTGTGCAAAGGGACAGAAAGAGTCTGTAATCCAATTCCCCTGATTAAAACGTTCCTCCCTTCACTAGATACATCAGAAAAAGGCAGGACCGATTCAAGAATAAAGGATTCTGAAGCTCCGGTATCTCTCAAAATCTTAACTGGAACTTTTTTATCTGAATTAATCAAAGAAACAAACCCCTCCGTGATGAATGGTGCAAACTGTTTTGTACCATCACTCTTTGACTCAGACACTGCGTTCCCTACTCCCATAGAAGCACCACTCGCAAAATCATTAATTCCTGTAGTCTCCGTCAGCAATACAGGACTAACATTTGCATTCGTCTTACTCTTTGGACTAAATTTCAACTTTGAGGCCAAAATAGGACACTTATTTTTCCAATGACCAACATTGAAACAATAATTGCATACCAAGTCTCGGTCACTCCTCCCACGATTTCTCTTCTCAAAATTTGAAATATAAGATTGTTCAAATCTCTTTGATGCCGTTCTATTTTCACTAAAGTTACCATACTGACGCCCTGGTCGACCCTCTTGGTACACGTTCTTATGTGTCAATATGTAATCATCTGCCAAGACTGCAGCTTCAATCACGTCATTTGGCTTATTTTCGTTTATATATGTAGCAATATAGTCAGGAACAATGTTCTTAAATTGTTCTAAAATAACCAAGTTACGCAACTTCTCGAAATTATCAACATCGGAAGCACTGCACCAACGATCAAAATGTGAAACAAGTTCTCTTACCACCTCAGAATGTGTTTGCCGTTCACCTTTTCTCCAACCTCTAAAACGCTGGCGGTATGCCTCAGGAACTAACTCATACGCTTTTAGAATAGTCACTTTTACCTTATCATAGTTCCTTCTGTCCTCCATCGTAAGCGCTGCGTATGCCTCTTGTGCTTTGCCTGTAATGACAGTTTGAAGCATAATAACTCGGACTGCACTTGGCCATTTGCCTTCTTCCGCTACAGTCTCAAATAAAGAGAAAAAAACATCAGGGTCACGTTCGTTAAATTTAGGGAGCAGTCTTAAATTACCAGCAAAGTCAAAACTGCCAGACAAATGTAACCTTTCACCACCCTCTGATGGTAATAGACCATCCTTTATTAATTGCAAACGTTCCGCCTGCAGCTCAAACTCCCGTTCTGATTGTTCAAGCTCTATTCTCTTCTGTGCCAATTCAATTTCACGTTGTTTGAGTAAATTATCTGTTCTTAATTTTTCCATCTCCAACTCATACCGTTTAGTTTCCAAGGCCAAATCTCTATCGTGAGTCTGTTGCATTTGCAAAATCTCTTTCTTCTGTTCGAAAGACAACCCTGAAAATATATCTAACGGAGTTTTCTTTTCAATATCATGTTTTTTCTTTGCGGGAATAATCAGAAGATTATTTTTGATTAAACAATCTCTCACAATAGAACGAAGTTCGTTCTTCTTTATCTTTTTATCCACATCACCAATTTTAAAATGCTCTACAAGTTCCCACAATTGTTGCTTCACGAACGAATTTAACACGTCCTCTGACGGAGCTTTAACAAATTCTTCAACGGATGTCATTTTAACTCTTAAACTCGTAGATTTAACCTACACTCTCAACTTAAAGTAAGTGCATCTACAATTCCAATAAGGCACAAATACAACACTCATTCACCGTCTCCCCTACTACCCTGCCTATCAACCCACTAAACTGCATTTATGCCTAATCTTCATGCAGCTTTCAAGAGCAAAGCGACATTAAACACCAGATACCGATGGTTCCGAACTGAGCAGTACAGCCCAACCCGTAGCCACGGCGGTGTGCTTCACCCAAAAGCCTGCACAAAAATAAAAAAGGCAAAATAACAAATCAACGCAAAGCGTTGCTAATACCTACTAGGGGAAAAATGAATGAGGTTTCATCTGTACCCCAATAAAAATGCACTTACCTTCAAATGACGACTACCTTTAACTCACAAAACAAATATACATCTATCTCAAAAAATAATACGAATAATCAAGGATTAACTTTTCCAAATTATCATTCAACCGAGCACCTAATCAACCAAATGAGCTAAACAATATCTAATCGAACGAACTCTCATTTGTTATCAAATTACTCTTTTTTATCAACACTTGAATGTGGGTAAGTTTCATAAAAAAGCAATATTTTGAACAAAAAGCTGAGAAAATAGCGTTTAGTCAAAGTCTTCCTCCAGAAGGGATTCAGAGCGATGATTAAAACACAGATGGAGTAGATCGAGCTCCTCAACACCTCAAAGCTTCAGACGAAACTCTTCATGCTTCAACATTTCATTGAGGAACATTAGACCGTTTTGATTTATATGCTGTTTAATGTTTATGATCGCTATATTTTATGATTACACATGATATCGCTTGTTTCTGCTTCTTCTTCGCCTGTGTTTAGATCAGGAGATTCAGTACTCGTTCAGTAGATGAGTAATAGCGCCCCCTACCGTATAACAGGGAAAAGACGGAAAGCCGGAAAAACTCGTCAATGGCGGGAAAGAGTTAAAAGAACAATAGTGTTATTATTCAGCTCAATTCAGTTCAGTTCAGTTCAATAACTGTGTAAATTTCATCAATTATAAAATTAGTTCAACTCATCTCTACAGAAGACTATAGTATCGTCGTTCACTTTGAATCAGTTCAGCGATGATTCGATTCAGTTCAGTAATGTTGATGTTACAACAGAGGACAATAGTGTCATTATTCAGCTCAATTATGTTCAAGTTTTGTTCTCTTTTATTCAAGTTTTGAGCCTTTTAATATATATATTTTTTAATTACCAGAAAAAGAGTCCCTTTCTCAAGACCAGTGGTTCTGAACTGGTGGGAAGGACTGCGGGTCTGTTCTGATCATGGACATGGACCAATATAAAGCTAAATGTAAATGATAATATCTAATATAACTAACCATACACTGTAAAAAAAGTCTGTCAAATTACTGTAAAACAGCAGCTGTGGTAGCCAGACATTTACTGTTAAAATAATGGTAGCAACATTTTAGGTTTTACAGACTTAACTTAAATTTACAGTAAAAATGTATTTCGTTAACTAATATAATGATAATTTACAGACCTCTTAAAGTATTAATATCTGTTTTGTACATTTGTAATACATTGACAACTATGTCACCTGATGAATCAAAGCTGATCACAAGCTTTTCCACAAGAAAGTTAATACTAATTTATAGAAGTATTCCCGGCCGGAGCAAGATTTAAAGTGTTATAGCAGTCTGACTGAACGGAGGTAATTTCAATACAGAGTTAAATAATAGAATAGAATAATCAAACATTCACCTAAATGCAATGATTAACGAACCCAATAAGGTATGCATAAAAGGCTGACAGAGCCGCTCACCGAAGAAGGCGACGGCGAAGCCCTCCAGCACACAGCCGGCCCGGCCCAGGCTGAAGTAGCCCATGGCATTGGTGAGTGTGGTGGGCAGCCCTCCGAACACGGCACAGCCCAGGTCGGCCACGGCCAGGCTCACCAGAGCGAAGTTCAGCGGCTGCCGGAGCGACCTGTGCCTCAGCGTCACCGCCACCACCGTCACGTTCAGCACGATGCCGAGCACCGAGAACAGGCCGATGATGACCGCCAGGACCGTGTAGCCCATCCGTGGCATGAGGCTTTCGTTCGCTGCTCTGCTGGGCACAGTGCCTCCCCATGCGGTCATGCCCATCTCCTCACACTGAACCTCACACACACTGAACCGCACACTGAACCTCACACACACTGAACCGCACACTGAACCGCACACTGAACCACACACTGAACCTCACACAAGAACAGCTAAGCCACTGATAATAGCTGCAGATGAGGAGAATGGCATATATGACTCCTCTGCTCTTTTTATGTCTGACTGCTGGCTTACTGGGAAAATCCCTAGATCCGGATTGTGAATGGAATAATTCTGTCAGATTATGAAGATCTGGAGATCTATGATGGCACTTATCTTGATTATATCAGCCTTATTGAGCGATGAGGTCACAGTTGAAGCCATTTCGCAGAAGTTCATTTCAGAGGAAGAGGAAGACTTGTGTATTAATCAAAGAGCCTTTCTTTTAACCTTCCTTTCATGAGATTAAAATGAGTTTGCCTGCCTTCTGAATCATAACAGTTAATTGAGTCCTCCCTGCTTATGTGTAACTGCACACAGTGTTTTATAATGATTAATAATGATTTATGCGGCTCGAGACTCCGGTGTACCAGAATAAGCGGTTTGGAGAATGGATGGACGTTATCAGTTGCAGTGATGCGCATGTTTAAGTGGTATTCCTGAGGTGTATTATTGAGGTTGGGATACAGGAAACACAATTGTAACCGTGACTAAGGTATGATCTGGGAATCACTGGAGTGCTGCCTCAACCTGCCATGGGATTGATGAGTGTGCTGCTTCGTTTTTGTTTTTTCTCCTGTAATCAACTTTATACACTCTAAAAAAAAGTTATTTGTTTTACCCAAATCCTGGGTTGAGCCTTTTGGGTAAATTTTTTGGGGTTATTTTTTCAGTGTTTGGGTAGCTTTTGTGTTACTCAGATCCTGGGTCAGATGTAACAACCCAGTGTTTGGGTAGTTTTTCAACCCAGGGGTTGAGTTATTTATCGCGGGCTTCAGGAGAGAGCAGTGCAGCTCTGTTCAAATTGGTGCGTGTCTTTAGTAAAATACAGGTTTGCGTAAATTTTTGTATCTATAAATTTGTTATTGTGCTCTATATTGTTTAATTTTATGCAAAGGAACATACAGGGGCGCGATGTGAGTCACCTAAACGAGTGTCACATTGATCTTTTCACTTGCTGTAAACGCCTGATGCCTTGCATGACATTTTTTGATTTTATAAGATACAGAATATAAATGCTTATAAAGTTAAAATATGTTGTCAGAACTGTACACTGATTGTTTTAATGACAGGTTATGGAGTCAGGGTTAGGGAATGTCCTGGTTGCGTATACAACCCACCATTCCCTAAAAGAGGGAACGGAGGACGTAGTCGGCGTCGACTGAATGGGGATCCTGCCAGGGAGCCAATCGTCTTCGAGTGCTATTGAACGAGCCAATGGGAAATGGCGTGCATGATGACATCACACACTCCGCCCCCGCGGCGCGGGTATAAATACGGAAGTGGATGCACACACTAGTTGCTCTTCACTGAGGAGCCGAGCGTAACTCGGAGTCAGCGGTGATCCAGCGGTAGTGGCAAGGGGACTACATCCTCCATTCCCTCCTTCAGGGAACGGTGGGTTGAATACGCAACCAGGACGTTCCCTTTCAGTCAAGAACGTCAGATATAGTCGACGTCGACTGAATGGGGATAACCATTGAAAACGCCACTAAAGCTGCCACCTTCCAGTGCCTAGACAAAAGCCTCCAGACCACCCCGCAATTTAAGGCGGGAAAGGGACAGGGCTTAGGCCAGGGAAGTCACTGCTGTTCCTACAGGACCACTGGGAAAGCGTTCCCTGTACATGGAAGGAAGGGACGCTGCGGAAGCCACGTCCTGCCCGAAGGGAGGTAACATGTGGAGAATACACATATGAACTGGGCGGATGACCGGGCAGTACAACATATCGAATGTCACTGGGGAGGCTCCAGCCTATGACAGGGGGGAGACTCAACCGCACAGTGACGGCAGAGCAGGGAGCCTTACCGTGGAAGAATACACATATAGGATCGCCGTAGGGATCACAGCATATGGACCCAGCCTAACACAGGTTCCACCAGTGCATACGAGTGATAGGCCTGGCTTCGGACGTTCCGCCACGTCCGTTGCCGAAGGGTATTGAGGAACTCGACAGGGCTCGGCTAAAAAAGGGGAACTCAACTGGAGCAAGAATTGCGCACGTATTCAGTCCATAGGAGGGGAATGGCGCCGCAAGCCGACACAACAAACCGGGCTTACAGTGAAACTGGCTTCATATGAAGGGAGCCCACAGGAAGCAGCGGTTCGACACGTAGGCTAGTCTTCTAGCGAACATGATGGGTGTCGCCCAGCCCCCAACTCTATTTAACATCTGTTGGCGAGGCACTCTGTGTCAACGCCTAGGAGGGAGCAATACTCTCACTTAGGAGGAGCTCACCACCCAGGTGGGCACGTGCACCTAGGGAAAACTTTTTCACCAAGCTGAAGGCAACCACCGTAGTGGGCCAACCTCTGCTTGGAAACAGCCTTCCCTTCTGCTGGTTTCCGTAACAGACAAGAGCCGGTCTGAGGTCCAGGGTATGCATTCTACGTACATAAAACCGCAATGGAGAGGACAGACAGAGAAAAGCCAGGGCTGGGTCTGCCTCCTCCAGGCAGCGCTTGTAGGTTCACCACCTGGTCCTCTTTGGGAGCGGTAGGGATTTCCCTTGCTCCCTCAGGAACCTGACGATCAGGACGTGCTTCCCATGCTTCTGCATTATGATGTTCGTCATCATATTGAGGGTGAAGGAACAGCCTACTCCAACCCATCTTGCAGGAAAGAGAGCACTGATATGACCGAACGCTCTCAGGATCTCCTCACGGAGAGAAGACTCATTCAACTAATAGGTTTCCACTTCTAATTAGCGAAGCACAACTGCCTTATCTTTTAGGGGGTGCTTGCAGAAGTGATGGTAACTACCACATATTCCTGTGGTAGCCACCTGAACCTCTGCGTCCAGTTTTTGAAAGCAGGTGCCATCATGCCCCGTCCCCGAAATGTATTCAGGGGAAGTCAGGAAGGCTGTCGAGGGAACTAGTTCTGGTTGGGCCAATAAGGGGTAACTATCAAGACCTGCTCCACTACTGACTTAGCACAGTAGGTGCAAGCGACATGCGCATACAAGACAGGAGCACTGCTTAACACTAGATATGAAGATCACTGAGCTTCAGGAGCATCTCTGCTCAACACCTGAGTGTGATAAAATTCACTGAGCTTTAGGAGCATCTCTGCTCAACACCTGAGTGTGATAAATCACTGAACTTGACCAGGCACCAAGCGACAATGAATCGCATAGCCTCTTCTTAGAAGGCTCACTGGGGAACGCATTTCTGCAGAGCCCCAGGGTCAGCTGAGAGCCGGTGTCTGTCCAAGGGATGTCCGCTCAGACAGAAACACAACTGGCAGAGGGACGAGTCCGGAGAGGCAAACAGATGTAACTGTGCAGCCCCGAAGTGGTCCCTGCCCAGCTGGCCACTCTCCCTGGTCATAGCTGCGTGAGGCTCGTCGGGGGCATGATTGAGCAGGCCGGAAGAAATAGTGGAATGAAGCGACCTCAGAAGCTTCTGACTCCAAGGAGGAGGTGACGGGCGAGTTGTGACATACGAGGAAAGCTTAGCACAGCGGTCCCGATGTTGTCTTTTCAGACCAGTACCAGCTCGCTGAGCAGCGGTGGCTCAAAGCGAGGTGAACTGCCAACTCGAGGTAACGAATACCAATGCAGTCGGAGGTCGCCCAGGCCTCAGTTAAAGCATGCCCTTTGTACATGGCCCCTCAGTCGGTGTTAGTGGACCTCGTTCTAGGAGCGGTTTGGCCAGGAGAAACGAAGGGACTGAACACGGGCTGAGGGTTTGGCGGCAGGCCGGGTCGATCTCTTTGTCACATAGGGTGTGCCGCTCCGCCACGGTCCCCTTGGGACTCGATCATAAAGCTAGTGCTGAATCGGTCTTCACATGGAGGAAGCCAAAGCAGCTGCATCTGCCATATGCCCCAGGAGCCTCTGAAAGATCTGAAAGAGGTGAGAAAGGGACCCTTTCTCACCTCAAGCACCAGCCGAACACACTCTTCTTGAAGAGACGTGTTGAACCGAGTCCTTCTCCTGAACTGAAAAAGAGATACTCAGCCCGTGGGCGAGATCACTCTCTCCCAGTTGACCTCAAAGACCCAACTGGCTATGGAACACTCGAAGGGTTGTACTGATATTTTGCACCTTCGAACGCAAGAACACAGAATGGTCTGTGGAGCGGAAGGATAGAGATCTGAAGTACTGTCCTTTAGGTCGAATGCTGCAGGCCAACCTTGGGGACGGAGCATTAGAAAATGCATCTCTGTGTTAGTAATTGAATGGAGGCTTTCGAAAAAAAGGGCACATCTCAATTGACACAGGTCCAATTGGAGGAGAAGGCAGATGACCGGGTCCTCGATCCGCACCCAGGTCCCGGCTGGCGAACAAAAGGGAGCTGAAGGGTGCAAGGTTTAACGCTTTCGCTGTCGCTTGCCATCTGGCTTGGCTGTGCCTGAAATGGGCGGGGTGCCGTGCAGTGCGGAGCTCATCCGTGAGCTCACGGTCTGAGCTACCCTTGTGCATGTTCATGAGTGCCTGGGCCTGGTGGACCTGAAGCAACGCCATGGCATGCAGAGAGGAAGCGGCTTGCCCACAGGCTTTGTAAGCCTTGCCCGTGAGAACGGACGAAAACTTACAGGCCTTAGAGGGGAGACGAGGATCCGCCTTCCATGAGGTAGCGGTCGCTGGACATAGCTGCATCGCAACAGACTGGAGGGATAGCCTCGCAACCCTTCACCGCTCCCCCTCTTTCTTTTCCCAAACATGTGATACAACTCTTGTGACCGTCAGAGAGGGACAGAGCCCTACCGCACCCAGAAACGGATGGAATGGCATCTTGAAAAAGATGCAAAATTCACCCGTGTTGCTCTTTCAGAAATGGGACCCGTCACCAGTGCCGGAGCACGCAGGGAATGACCGCGGCAACACTGAATTCAGCGAACTGAAAACAGTGAAGCACTCACTTTTCCACCCTCAACCAGCCGTCAACACACAATTTGCTTGCTGTTAAAACAGCAGTTGAGAGGTCAAAGCTTGCGATCACCGTTGCACTTGCGCTGTAGAAC